CCAGACGCTCTCCTTTCGCAGCTCAGCTGGATTATCTCATCGCCTCGCGCCCCGAGGGGCGGGCTAGGGTCTCCCCTCCCCGAGGACGTGGGGGGAGGGTCGGCGGGGCCCCTCCGCGCCTGCTGTCTCCTCAGCGCCTCCGGGCGCACGACCGAAGTCACTTTTTCTTTGCGCCTCTGTCTCTCCCCGCCTGCAGGATTTCGCTCCTGGCTGGTCCTCTCCCTTCCCCGCTGCGCGGGCTCTTCCGGAGCCCACCCCCGGCGGCGGCGGCGGCAGCGGCGGCGGCGGGGGCCGCTGGATTCCGAGAGGCGCGGGGCACCTTTTTACCCCCTGCCCTGGTTTTATCTGTTTCTTCTCTCTTTCCTTCCCCAGCGTTCCACCGTACGCCCCCTCCCTCTCGGGTGTCATTCCTCACCGCTGAGTGACAGCCTCAGGCCACGCCCCTGCACGGGGCCGTCCCGGGCGCTCCAGGCCTCCCATTGGCTGGCTTCTGCTGGGCGACTTTGACTTTAACAGACAAAACTGGGCACGTAAAGCCGAGAAAGTCAGGGTCTGACTTAACCCCTTTTCTACCAAGCCTGGTCCTTGAAGCATCCTCCAGGAACAGGGGGACTCACCCACACAGACACGCTGGTTCTTACCTCTGTGGATGTCTCCACCTATTCCTGCGCTTTTATGGAACACCATCTTTAGTTGAGTCAAAATCTGGGAGGGAAAATCCAAGATAATGCAGTTCCATAAATCGCGCGTGTAGTTTCTGTTCTCTAGGAAGGTTCATAGATTTGAAGAACAAAATTCTTCCCCCCACCCCACCCCCCGTGGAGTTTCTCGACTCCTTCCTTCACTGCTAATTCTTTCCCCTGAAATAATCAGTTAATTAAAATCACTTTAGGGTTATTTTTCTTTCCTCATCGTATTTGATTTCAATAGAGGAATTAAAAAGGAAAAGATGGATCAGTTAGAACTAAAGTCAGGCGAGAAATTGGAAGGCATCCTTGGGAGAGTTTCTGGAAATTGCCTGATCCTTTATTCCCTGGACTGTCAATACTGAATTTAATTGGAGTTAAATTTTACACCAGGAAGAAAAAAAAAAAGCACTTTCAATTTGTTCTTTAAGTATTCTGTTACTTGTGAGTTGAATAAAATTAAGATACATGTTGGTTTAAAGAATATCTAGGAATTACCATAGTAATGATCCTGAACTGACATTAAATGCTCTTTAAAAAAATAAGTAATGCATAGTTTTCGGTAAAAGAAGGAACCCAACTAAGAAACACAAATATTGTGGGTATATCAAAACATTTTATTTATGTTTATTTTTAAATAAAAAATTTACTCCAGTGTCATATTTTACTGTCTTCCATAAATTTTACAGAGGTTTAACTTAACACTAAATATACAACTTGAACCATTAAATAAGTTTAAAGAACTGTGATTTTAATTTAGCAAATTGTGGGGATTGATGTTTTTGGTGTCACTAAAATAAATAACATTTCCCCTTGTTGCTTTCTTTTTGGTGGTTCTTATTCTGCACCGCAGGATGGAAGACACCCGCTATTCAGTTTTCAGGCTCAGCAGAGGGCTTTGCAGCATCTCTGCTTTCCAGCATTTCAGCCTCATTGTGTTTTTCACATCCCAAATACACTACAGTGAGATTCTGTGGTTTCTTGGGGGCGGGGTGGGGGTGGGGGACTCAAACTTGAAGCGGTCATTGCCCTTTATAGCTCTTTACGATGACATCAGTTTGA